AACAATCTCTGGGCTGATCTAAGTCAGGGCATGGCTAACTTACAGATCAAACCCTGAAACAACCTCTGGGCTGATCTAAGTCAGGGCATGGCTAACTTACAGATCAAACCCTGAAACAATCTCTTAAGCTCTCACAGATCAAACATAGATTTTAGCTTGTTAGCTTTTGTGGATGGAGGAAAACCAGAGAAAAACCCTTGAATCAAGGAAGAGGCATAACAAAACTCTACTCACATCTGATACTAAGTCCAGGAATAGAACCCTAAAGGGGAAGGGTGAGTGCACTACTTTGTCAACTGTTTTATCTATCTGTTTTAAGTGCTTTAAACAATTACCTCATTCAGTTTAATGTTCTCCAAAATCAAGTTTTCTATGTGGCTTAAAACAACTCTAGCTTTGTCAGGCTGTAAAGAAGAAAATAGTCTTGATGAGGGATGATACAATGAAATGTTAGATGCAACCTTTAAGTAATAATTAAGGCTAAACATTGCAACCAATAAGAATAAATGTTTGCAAAGTAAACGATAGACATAAGTTATGAGTGCATTTAGAATTTTTGTGTTTCAGCATATATCTCTTTATATAAAATATTTAACAATTATTCGCCGAAGGCAAAGTGATTATCGGAGACGCGAGTCTTCGAGCGGCGAGGTAAATATTCCCCAATAATCACTGAGCCTGAGGCAAATAATTGTTTTAGTACAAATACACAGGTGATTCTTTCAAAAAAAGAAAACAAAGAAGATAAAAGACATTTTTGTATAATCACCTGCGTATTTTTACTAAATGTACAAATAGTTCATATATATCACCTTGTACATGATAAGATGAAGCTCAGCAAGAAGCAAACATACTTTCAAAGCAAGATTCTCATCTGCAGCAAAGAAAAAAGAGAAGTGTTAATAAGTTTTATGAAGTATTCTTTGTTTGCAAATGATGTCACAGCCACCATCTTGGTTGAATTTAACAGAATAGTTGTCAATGAATTCTTCTGTTATATCAACCAACATGGCCACCTTTTCTTTTGCTATTTAACTCCCTTGAGAATGATTGAAAACCAGCAATTACTACCACATGTTGGTTCAATTTTGAAGAGAGTGTCAGGAAAGAGACATCATTTATTTTCTTTCAAATGTAAGGTTATATCAAAAAGAAAAGAGCCAAAAAAGACCGTGATGACAATGAATAACTTGCAGTAGCTGGTCATGTGACCCTAGAGGTACCTCCCTTACAAAGAGCAGCCCTTAATTTCTATAAAAAGACACTCCTCCAACACACATTTCACATCAGTTCACATCAGGGTTATTGTCAATAAATAATTGGTAATAATTTGATTTATTAATAATATTTAATAAAATTGTGTATATACATACCTAGAGGTTCTATGACATTAAATAATCTGTTCAAAGTACAGACTGCTGCATTGTATTGCCGTAACTGTTAAAAAAATACCCCCATGATATAATTAATGTTTTATGAAATCTATTGTTTATTTTTAAAAAGAAAGACATTTTTTTATAAGAAACTTCATCACCCTCAGCAGTAACAGCAGTACATAAAGTGACAGCAATATTTGTAGCATGAAGGCATGCTGTTTCATCACTATCATAACCACTTTCATCATCATCATATTTGATGTTGATGACCTGCATTATCAATGTCATCTGACTCATCCCTGTCATCAACACTACTACTATCATCGTCATCATCATCATATATTTAGATGTTAATGACTTATAATATCAATGTCATTCGACTTATCTCCAAAGTCACCACCACTATCTTCTTCTTCATCATCATCAGTCATCATCATCACCACTATCTTCATTATCATCATCATCGTCATCTTCATGATATTTAGATGTTAACTACTTACATTGTAACAAACAACAGCTTCATTGTATAACAGATATGCCATATCAATGTCATCTGACTCATCACCATCATCAACACTACCACTATCATCATCATCATCATCATCTTCATGATATAAAGATGTTTACTACTTACATTGTAACAAACAATAGCTTCATTGTATAACAGATATGCCATATCAATGTCATCTGACTCATCACCATCATCGCCTGTCTGGTTTTCAATCTGAAACAAATGAAGAGAAAACAAAGTACAGACTGAGATATTTTACTTTAAATAACTAATAAAATAATTAATAGAATAACAAAAGTTATTAGATTTTATTTCCCTTAATCGTTTTCTTTTTTCTTTTCTTTCTTACCATTAATACGAGTGAACAATAAGGAAATTTAAACACTGCGTAAAATCGTTTGTAACAATACTGACATTTCAATCAACATGTGAGTAGAGCGTTGTGTGCATAGAATATTGAATGTAGTGGTAGTGCGTGTGAGCAAAAAGTGTCCCTAATTAGTGCAAAAGCACTAGAACGACTAGACACTTAAATCAAAGTGATTTATTTATTTATTTATTTCAGACATTAGTCATAAGTTTTGTTTCCATTTCAAGCTAGCGAGAGTTAAGCAAAACCACTTTATCAGGGTTATACTTTGTAAAAAAATTCACCATCATGCTTCCATAAAAAGGTTTTTAAAAACCACACAAGCTGTCCAAGAAGCTCATAAAAACCAAAACAACTCCTTAATGATAACATTTTGAAACTCTCTGTATATAGAAGACTGCTTAATTTCTCACACAACCTTAATAGACCATTTTCAAATTAATCAAATCTGGCTGTGTTCCTTGATCACAGACTCATTAATACAGATTTAGCCTCATTTCAATGTCCAAATATTCACAAATACCAACGGTAAGGTAAAGGATGTTCAACTTTAACAATACAAACACTTTGAAATTCCACGAAACTTCATTAAAATGCATGAATCTTTGAAGTAATTCCATATGAAATGGAGGCTAACCATGTAGAATAGAGGATACCAATATTCCATACTATTAGTAATCTTTACCTGCTTTTTAATAGAGAGTAAGTTCTTGTAGAATTCATCCGTCTTGGTGAATTCAGAATGACAGAACTGCGCCACTGCCTTGTTATGTATCACTTTATGATCATTCTGTCGAATCTCAGACAGGCTATCAAGGGCTTCGACAGACTTCTCATAACGACAGTTCTCAAATTCTATCTGGGCTTGGTTGGCAATCTCACGCTCTTCGTCAGTAATTCTGATACCAGATACTGGAAGGTCTTCAGGTATTTCTAATGAACTTACAAAGGATTGCTCAACATCTGTCATTTCTTATTACTGTAGAGTAACGATAAAACAAATTTAGAGGCAAAATATTTGATATAACTTTACAAACCCTTTTTAGCTTTATAACTTAATAACTTTCACAAAAAAAAAAATTGCAAATTTAACCAATTTCCTGAAGTCTTCATGGTATAATGTACTTATTGACTGAGTGGGAGGGCCGTACAGGAAAATATTTGGCTCGAGGTAATGCAGTACGACCGAGCTCAGCAAGAAAACTATTCTTCGATTGCACATTACGTCATCGCGGCCATGTTGGTGCCATTTAACAAAAGATTTCTTATTAGCATCCATTATTAACGGCACCACCATGGCCGTCATGCTTTTTTCTTTTAACTCTCTTGGGAATGCTTGCGACCTATCAATATATTACAGCGTATACATGTGAAAGGGCTTAGCACGGGTCTGTGTTCTGTACTACTTGTACCTTACAACAACCCCCATACGTCTCCAAAAACACCACTAGTAAAGTAAGTAATGGAACAACTAAGAATTGACTCAAAAATTGTGAAAAATTTCAATAATATTTCTTCAAGAACGTGCGAAGAACCCTCTAGTTGATTACCAAATAGACTTCATGAAGTCAGGACTGTATACAAAAAAATCCCGAATCTTTAACTCGTGTTACAGAGAGAGAATACCACATGAATTAAATCAAAGAGTGCGAAAACCAAAAACTGCAACTTATGGATTATTAAAGACTTGATTGATAATTCCAAAACAATTATTTTTTTACTCGTAATTGAAGGTTTACTACACGTCCCAATAAAATACAAATTAACGTCTCAAAATACCAATAAAATCGATGCATTTCTAATTTAACTTCTAATTCGAATATTGGTAATTCAATAAAGACGTCAAATTAATAGTCATAGTTAAGATAATAAGGGGAAAAGATTTAAAGAATTCTCCTGCAGAGAAAAATAAATAACACATTTTTCATCTCAAACATGTGCATGGCTGGCATCACTTACGGGTAGCAAGGCTCTAGGAAACGTAAAAAATACCACAAATATTTGAGGAAGAAGGCCTAAGGCTTATTTAAATAGGCATATTATTAGATTTACCTTTAAGAAGAGTAAAATATTTCTGTAAATTCACCAAAAAATTCCGCCAAAACTTCTTTCGTTACGTTAGAAGTCGACGATCAGCGGTTATTACCTATTTGTTGCAGGCGCAATCTTCATTGGAAGAAGGACCAGTCCTTATGTTTACGCGCTGTTTGATAATCCACAGGAAGACCAAAATCTTTTGCTGATTGGCTGTTACTCAGTTAAAAATAGTGGAATTATGGTAATAATAATAATAATAATAATAATTTGATGAATTTCTATAGCGTTATATATTACACTCTATAACGCTTTACAAAGTCACGAATGTCATTACATGTCTTTAGTTCTTTGGGAAGTGTATTCCATAGTTTGGGACCCATGTACATAAATGCTCTTCCACCAAAGGAGTTCCGTTTAATAGTGGGAACTACTAGGTCATTATTGTTGTCTGGTAAGATTTTTTTTTTTTGAGTGATGCGTCTTTAAGTTATGAAGGTTTATACTTCCAATATGTTAATGAATGTGACGTCAGGTAAGGTATTTGAGTGTATTTGTTTTAACTCGTCACGATCAATACTAAATGCTGGCCATTATGAGAAATCACATTGCGCGAGCATTTATTCTTCATCCAATCAAATGCTCGAAACAGGGCTCGATCACGGCGCGGACACGGTTAAGCCAAAGTCAAGGCACTGCCAGACCAATCAAACTGCGCGATAAAAAATCAGCATATTAAAATTCCTAGAAAACATCACGGTCACGACACGACACCCATACGTCACTGAGCTTTTCACAGTCATACGAAAACTGCTCTAATGGTGTCAAGACGACCCCAAAACGCACTCAGTGAAACATTTTCTTTGTTTAGTAATACCGCGCGTTTACAACTGTTTTTCTGAATGTGGCGCCTGTGGTTCAAATCCTAGAATGTCGCAGTTATTGAAGCAGACATTCATCAAAGATTACCTCAAGCGTTTACAATATTCAGGTCCTGTTTTACCAAACCTAGAAACCTTAAATACCCTTCATCGTCTTCACATACTCAACATTCCATTTGAAAACCTCAACAACCTTCTACAGGAAGAATATCTTTGCACAAAAGAAGGTTTGTACGAGAAGATTGTGCTTGAGCATCGAGGAGGACTTTGTCACGAGCTCAACACGTCATTTGCATTTTTACTAAAAGATATTGGGTTTAGTTTGATTCGTGTAGAGGCAAAAGTTTATTGTAATTATATGAAAAGTTGGGCTCCTTTGCCCACCCACCAGTTGTTAATCGTGTATTTGGGAGAAGAAATATGGATTGTAGACGTTGGTTTTGGAGAAGGTTTTGCCGTACCATTGCGCTTCGTAGAAGACGAAATTCAAGACGCTGAAAATGCAAATTACCGAATTAAAAAAGATCTCGACGAAGCAGGTCAAAAGTGGTTCATTATTGAATCAAGCAGCAGAAATGTCGTTGCTTTACATCTGTCCAATGAAGCAGAAAAAAGCGAAGATTGCGAATGGCAGTACATATACAAATTCAACCTTACACCCCGTTCTATTCAGCATTTCAGTAACGCCAGAAATATGACCCTCAAATCTCCAAGTTCAACTTTTAACCAAGGTCTTGTGTGTACTCTGCTCCGACCTTGGGGAAGAATAACTATTTCTAGATACAAGTTGATAAAGAAGTACGTAAAAAACAAGGAAATATCCCGAAAGGAAGTGAAGATGTTAGAAAACCAAGAAGAAGTGATGTCAGTCCTGGAGAGTGAATTTGGGATAAAAATACAACATTTTGAAACCCCTCTAAAACTTGCGTAGGTCTCGAACCTTTTTTAATTTTTGAAGGTTGAAAAAATTGCAATTCTAAATTCTCTCTGTATTATCAAAATTGGCCTTGTAACCTCATTTTTTAATTAAGAAGGTCTGTAACAGAGCGATTAATTTCTTACTGCGCATGTCAAGGAAGACGGCGACTGTTTAGACCTGTCGATTGGGGGTGTTCCATTTTGGGGCAAAAGATTCGTATTTGAAAAAAGGGAGGGAGACTCCTTTCTTACAATTTGTGACCAGTGAGACGAAGAGTATAAGTGTCTGGATTCAAATACGAGAATGTCACATCACTTACTGAAGCAAGCATCCGTTGAAGATTACCTCAAGCGTTTAGGCCCTGGATAAACGAGAAAACATGTTTCCAGAAATATGTTTTCTTTAATATTTCCAAAGGTGGCAAAACTGTCAGGGAACATCGGGAAACATGTTTGCTCAACATCGCTTAGCGCATGTGCACTTTCAAGACAGAGCTAGCGTTGCTAAGTAACGAACTTTTAGAATGTTGACTTTCGTGGCTAAACGAGGAAGCATTGGAAAACATTGTTTCCATGCGTCTTTAAAGCATGAAATGTTTCTGCCGCACACCATTTTTGCGTCTTGGAAGCAAAATTTGTTGCACGTAGCAATGTTTCGCATGTGGCTAAACTTGGAATCATCGGGGAACATGAGCGCGGGAAACATGTTTCAGGAAACCTGTTTCCTCGTTTAGCCAGGTCCTAACGATAATTAGGTCCTGTTTTACCGAACCTAGAAACCTTAAAGACCCGCTTCGTCTTCACCTACTCAGTATTCCATTTGAAAACCTCAACAACTTTCTACGAGAAGAATATCTTAGCAAGGGCATCGAAGAAGAGCTTGTTGTAAGCTCAACATATTTGGATTTTTACTCTCACCAATGCTAGGTGGGTGGACACTGCCAGGGTTAATTCTTTACGTCCTCAGTGCTCCTATTACGTCCCTCCGATATTGGTTAGTAATAACGAAGTGTGTGCGCCTTTTAAAGTGGTCAACAGAGCCACGTGAAAGTATAACATTTGTAGATGTAATCCAGTACAAAGGCAGCACTTTCTTCTCAGTTAGTCAACCAAGCAAAAATATCGTTGAACTAAAGACTCAAAAAAAGGGGGCGTCAATAAACATCTGACATTAGATGCCATGGGTCTAACGCGTCGTCTTTTACCGCTGTGAGCTCAACGGGTCGGGTCGCTGGTTCGAGCCCTGGGGTCGCCACAAGTGAATTGAGTTTGTTTGATGCGGGTTTTCTCCGGTTTCCTCCTTCCGTAAAAATCAACATGTGGGCTGAGCGTTGTGTGCATAGAATATTGAATGTAGTGGTAGTGCGTGTGAGCAAAAAGTGTCCCCAATTTGTGCGAAAGCGCTAGAACAACTAGACACTTAAATAAAAGTGATTTGTTTATTTACTATTTATTACTTTATTTACTATTTATTTATTAGTTATTTATTTACCATTAGAAGTTGAATCTAGAAAGACGGACAAGAATTCCATTATTGCTAAAGGCTTTTGATAATTTGAAAAGTGATTCATTGGATCAGTCAGCTATAGAAAGCGCTTATGCTTTGGTATGTAGGCAAGTGATTTACTGGTAAGTAAATATCAGGACTGGTGATTCTTATATAATTTGCATATCTGCAATCTAGATGCATATTAAGAGTGCACTAGTTTTTTATGCTCTAAAAGATTAACTAACAATTCAACATCTTCCATACACAAAGCGCTCAAGCGAGGCGCCTCGGTTGGATACTTTGTATTTGACCATTGAACCGATGTATGGAAAATGGCGAATAAAACAGTTGTCATGTTGGGTGCTCTTTAATACGAAAGAAGCCAATGACGAGGAATGCTTTGGTTTCATCAACCAACATGACGGCTAAGTCGTAACATGCAACCTAGGAATAAATGCAGTTCTGAATGACTTATGAAACATTAATGCACAGTCTAAAAATTTTTATTATTATATCAATTTAGAATACATTCAACACGGCTGGAAAATTTGTATATTAAGATTCTGATACATATGGTTGCACCCCAAGAAATTAAGTTATACAATGAATCACTAATAAAACAAGAAATGTCGTCTCGGTAGATTATTATATCTAAAATATTCTTTATTAGCATGTTTCCTGAAGTTTCAATGGATGTTACTGAAGGATTTTTCAAAGACATCTATAAAATTTTTCTATTTCCAAGGACTTCAAAGTGCCTTTGGAATTACATTTTAGATTCCAGCACTTTTCAAAACGTTCAAGGACCTGCACAAGCCCTGGTCTCTATTTCTAGTTCATTTACTTGTTTCTTATCACTGCTTCTTTAAATCTTCACTTCGAGAACAATAATATTAATGATATATCCATTATTTAACGAGGGTGGCACTAAATAGCAAAAACTATGCTAATAAACCTGTGGCCATCTAGTTGCTCTGGCACTTTGGCTTTTTGTATAGTTCTGTTCCATAAGCAACTTGAACTTTCTAGGTTCTTTTTGTAAGTACTCTACATATACTGACGTTTTTTGAAGAAAAACAATTATTCAATGAAACTATAAACTATAAAGTTACTTACGATGCATTTTTTCTGCAAAACCGCGGAACTAAAGAGCCACATTAAAAAACATATATATGATTTTCCCTGGTAGTCTTCTAACAAGCCTAACTATCTATATAAAGTATGAAACAGTGCTACCGCCTGCTAGGCATAAAAACGAAATTGGGAGCTGTAAACTGCTTATACAGCTCCATGTGTAACCAAATTTGATATACCGAAATCTCATTTTGAAATACGCCTTTTAAAGTTCTGCGCAAAGTTTACTAGTACTATTAGTAAAAAGTCAATAGAGTGTTCTAAAGTTTCCTATCGTTAAATGTCAAGTCGATCCTGAGGCGGTAAACTCCTTCGATCGACGTTCGGTACGCTGCCATTTGTTTGCACTTACTTATCCTATTCGCTCCTCGTGGAGGATAAGGCGAGGCACAGATCTCTCATGTAACCTTAACTTACATTTTAAAGTTCGTTAAGGCCACCACGATATCGGCCACCGTAGATTTCATACATGTCAATAAGCTAGGGTTTTTTTAAAAAGATGAATGGATGGCATCAAGTCTTTTGGAAAAACAGCAATTACGCCAAGCGAGATTTTGGAAGTGTGGATCTAGAATCTTTCAATTTTGACGATCTACATCACTCGTAAAACCTCCAATACTGATGGGGTGCCTTGGGCGTCGGTTCTCCATGATCTTGCTGGACCAAGAACTAGCCATAGCATGCATGCTTTCATTCCTTGATGTTGCTTGTGCCAGGAACATGACCACTGATGTCATTAGTTTTTTATTTTAAAAACTGCCCACTGCTGATTGAGCTGAGCATCCCCACCATTCTTATTCTTCAACAAGAATGAGTTAGTCATGACGAATACCATGAAAATCGTGCTATTCACATATAAGTGATCACATGAAAGGCACTAGCTATGCATGGACACTGTTGTAAATCAAAATACTTGCACAAACTGTTTAATCACACAATTCGACATTGAAAGCATCGACGCCGAAAAAATTGAATCCCAAAAAGAACTTTACTTTTCTGTTGGTGAAGTTGGCACTAGTAAGAGGCGGGTCGCAAAGATCAGTTCGAAAGATAACATTCAAAATCCCTCTAACAGATATGTTGCCGAGCTTTGGACCTGTGCGAGTTATTGTTCCTGTCAGTTGCCTCAGCTTTAGCGTGTGCTCATGAGGAAGAACATTTTTCAACCTTCTTTGTTTGGAAACGCTGTCATGTAGATTTAAGTACACGAGTTGGCTCATGTCTCTAGACGGTGGTCCAAGCCAGATAACTGGTCTGTCAGGATGACGGACTCTTCCGACGTCGCCCCGATTAATGGCTTTGATCGCAGTGTTTAGATCATGGTGGGCGTCGTGCATGATGTCGCTATAATAGCGATTACCTTTGTTTTCAAGGACATGAATACAGGCGATGATATATTTGAACAGGTAGGAGCGCACTGATCTTTCTTCCGTACACCACTTAAATATAAGGTTCTCAGCATCTTCCAGATTGACGGGAACAAACGGAGCAACACGAACCCATATACGCATGGTCGATTCCTTCTCATTAGGCTTGTCAAAGATAAGTGCTTCGTTCAAGAGGTCGATCACTTCTGATGCAATTGTTGACAAGCTCTGACTATTTTGTTTACACAATGTCATTTTCATATCGGCTATCTTACGATTGACTGGACCTCTGCTTGCTCTTCCACTTTCTCTAAGCCGTTCTAGAAGCTTTAGGGTTTCCACCATATCGGGTTTCCTACTGCGAAGACCCAGGCAAAGAAGTCTTGTCTTCCAGTAAGTGTAATTGTCGCTATCAGGAACATTCTCTAATGTGTCAGACGTCTGGGATATTCCGTCGACAATAAATGGAAGGCAGTTACCACTAAGAAGAAAATTATGTATACTCCCAGTCACCCTGTCGACGTATTCAAACAACTTGCACATCATACTCACTTCAGGAATGTAGCCATCCACCATATCAGGACAGATGCTGACAGCTCGCCTGAACCATTTAACGCCCATTTCAGCAACATCTGCGATTTCTTTTATTTTTGCCTCCTGCCTTATCAAATAGTTAACTTGTCGGCTGTAGACAACTCCTTTCATTTGAGCAAACTGACCCCTCACCACTCTTGAAACTTCGGCATCAGCGCCATCAATGCCTTCATCTGTGTAGTTATAGCCATTTCAAATCCTGCAGCTTTCTTTTTTATGCTGTACAGTCGACCGAGATGGACTTTGAAAAACATGTTGTCAGGGAACGAGTCAATTGCTTTCTCAAAAACCTTGATGGCATCTTCTTCTTCTGGAATGTCATTTATGAGTTGGGAAAAATAATCTGGGTATTTTTCCTCGGTAATACCACGATTAAGCAGTAGACATCTGACTAAGTCTTCTGGCATATGAGAAATGAAATTGATGGTTTCATTAGCAATATTCTGAACCCAGTTATCTGGATGAATTCGAGCCTGAAGCTCAGAACCGTGAAATGTGAGAAGAGATTGAAGCATTTTCAACCCAATCAAGTCATGCCGTGGTCTCCAGTTGCCATTTTCTTCGATGAGAAGGTGCAGAGATGTTTCGGTTAATACCTCTTCAAGAAGAGTACCACAAGGTGCATTAAAATAAGATGTTAATGTAGCGTTCGGAACTGAAATATGGCCGTAGTGATGAGCCATTGCGAGAAAAACGAGAACTTGACGCTGCTGCTTGTCCGATGCAGCTAA